GCGAAGGACAGAGGGCTTGTGAAGGGGTGCTGTGGTTTGTATGGACTGAGCAGGCAGTGGGTCAGCCACAATTCCACTTGACTTTAAATGCTTGGCTTCTATTAAGTTGGCCCAGTGTGTAAGGAACAAACAGCCAACGCTGGTAATGGTTTCTGCCTGACTCGTTGACACATTCAACCCCCTACACACACACACACACACACACACACACACACACACACACACATACACACACACACACACACACACATATACACATACACATACACACAGACACACACACTTCCTTTTTCTCTTTCTCTCTCTTTCATTTCCCAGGAAATTTTTTTTTCTCCTGCTCCCTCACCCCTCCCCTCTTTTCACATCAAACACTAATGTTTCCTTCAAATTCCTTTTCCTCTCTGTCTGCCAACTTTGACATCACAGGAAATTACGCTTGGAATTGGCGGCGCTGTTTTTTTTTTCTCTCTCTCTCTCTCTCTCTCTTTTTTGCTTTCAACTTCATTCCACTTCCCAAACAGTGACGCTTCTCTCGTGTGGCCTGTCATCCCCAAGACACCCGCCTCCTCCTCCTTCTACTTCCTCCTCTTCCTCTTCTTTTTTTCTTCTTCTTCTGATATGTTTGTTCTGGCTCCCATCACTCCACACATACACATATAGTTGCTTACACTCTTTCAAATGCACACTCTGTCTCTCACCCTTTCTGACACACTCAAACTGTCTTTCACACGCATGCATTCAGACGCAGCGTGATGCTAACTACACCTAATGCAAGTTCTGGGCTTATTTGCTGGAGGCTAATAACAGAGGTTGATTTTTTTCTCTCCGAGACATCAACAGTCAGATTGGTGTCTGTGCTTGCCTCCTATGACTGGATTAAGACAAGGAGGCCATGAGCAGAGTACCTAATTGGCACTGAACTGCAGTGTTAAGAATGTGTTGGTGCATGTGTGAGAGTACCTGTACGATCACATCAGCATATGCATAGGTAAGCGGGAAAATGTCTGTACAAGCATGCATGTGAATGTGCATGTACAGAAAAGAAAGAAAGCTCCAGACATTAAGCTTGAGGGCCTGAACAGGTAAACGCGCCTCCCCAGAAACAATGACTCAACCTGCACTCAACGGTCAGCCGTAGCCTCTGGGTTACACACACTGTGAGTATGTTCACATGTACTGTACACCAATCACCATTCCACTGCGAACAACCAGATGAAGGGACCAGTTCAGTCAAGGTGTTGCGATAAATTGTAGGAAATAATGAACACGGAAATAACAATAAATTAGCAGAGTTGATGATCTGTGGGTGTACACAAGCCACAGAAAATCATAAAATTGAAAAATAATTCATCTCTGGTGAGTAAATAATACATCTTCTGGATGCTGTGGATAATCCACAGACATTGCTGTCAACAGTTTTCAGAGGGACTGTTTTTTTTCAGTAGGAAGTAGTTCCAATAAAAACTATTTACAGGAACTGAATGTTCTTGATTAATGGGGATTCAAATTCTAGATATATATTTTGCTTTTGATTTTTTTCAATATAATTTTTGGTTTTTGGGGTATTTCATGGATTTATTAGAAAGTGAGAGTGGAAATGTCAGAGATCTGGTCAAAGAAAACAAAAACTATGATATGGCTAGACATGACTAGGGATAAGTGTCAAAATAAGTGTTATTATGATTTGGGTGAACTGACCCTTTCATTTAAAAATCTAAACCTGGTTATGGTGTTTACTTGCAATAACTGTAGTGCAGCTCTAATCAGGAGTAATTACAGTGGTTTTAAGTACATATATCAAAGCTGTTACAAAGATGAAATTTGCAGTGTGTATTCTGTAATGTCATTCTTGTGTAAAGGATGGAGGTGAGCCCCTGCACGTATCCAATGCCTCCACTGCATGAAATGTATGTATTGCTGTGGAGTCCTTATTTAATACGAGTGGGGCTTAATTTTAGCAGGATTTAATCATAATAATGAAAGGCAGTCAAAGAGGACCTTTTGTTCCTCTGCTAAAACCCCCTACACAAACGCAGACACACACACACACACTCTCACACGCACACACAGACAGTCGATCAGTCCTGGGGAAATCTCAGAGATAGACGTACACACATATCTTTGTTGACGTCACGTTGCCTGGCAACATCCCAGCATGCTCGGCTGTGACAAGCTGAGGTCTCAGCCCCGAAGCGCGATGCATCATGGGGGATAATGCGTGCCGCGTCTTAACATCACCCACAATCCCTCTTGCTGATGCAGCCAGTCAAGCTGGTGAGATTGTTCTTTGCAGCTGATCCTGGGACAGTTTTGCAACATTTGAGGTTTAGAAAGAGGCTGTTTTGTCCTCCTCCAGAGAGAGATGAAATCATGTCCACAACAGTCGCTTTAAGACTTGATGTATAGTATATTTTGCAGTATACATCTGGGGGATCTTTTTTTTTTTTTTAGCCCTCCCCACTCCTCCCTGATCAGACCCCTGACCGCTTTTCTGTAGGTGAGGCTCATTATGCTCATCTGAGAGAGTAGAATTAAACCTCCTCCTCCGAACTCATTACTGTGAGCTAGATTTCACTGGTTGCAGATAGGCAATGTGGTGGTGCTGCTTTTAAAGCCAGAGCCAGATAATTAGAAACTTTAGAAGCGCAGCTCCCATGGCTATAGCCAGAGTGAACAACTAATTCTATTTGAACTAATTACGTTCCATAGCGCTACACTGTGATTGCTACGCCGACGCTCAGCCTCCCCTATGTAATACGCCCGAGGATTTCATCACAAAACAGTACCAGGGATGTATTTTTGTGCGTGTGACTGACTGTACATCATCATGTATTGGCATTACTCTCTATGCACAGCATGTCTTTACATATACACCCCCACTTGCTCCCAAATGTGTGTATATCATACTGCAAAACCCCTGAGCAGGCTCACTAGTGCTTATTTTGAGTGTTGACATCATCAAAATGCATCAGAGGAGGTTTAGACCTGCAGCTTGGGTAATGAAGTCTGAGATGAAGCCTCCCTGTTGGACTGCAGAGCACAGTGTAACCAGTGAGACAAAAATGAGATTATTTGATAGAGTACATCAGTGGTATGTCAACATTATTGTTATTATTTGTATTTATTTATTCATTTTTGTTTCGCAATAAGAGTGGAGTGTTCATTTTATTTTTTATATGTAACTTAAAGACTTAAATTAAAGACTAAATTCTTCTTCTTCTTATAATTACAATCATTATTATAAACACACATAGCCCACACATCCTTAACCAAAACAGTAGAAACATAAACACAAAAAAATGCATTAATATATATTTATGATAATTCTGATTCTGATACTCATTATTGCACTTCCATCAAATCTGCGGAACTTGCAAGACACAGATTTAAACAGATTATCAAAACTGACGCAGCAAATTGAGGCCAAGATAACTTGACTTTTAGTACATAGTTTGGGTTTGTAAACTTCCCATCATGCAACTTCTCTCGCTGCCTGGTAGACGACCACATCTCCCTCCTTCAACCCTCGTTTGTAATGTCAAAGTAACCTGTTGACATTATTGGTAATTTTCTCACACTGTAGAAAGCTCCTCCAAAGCCACAAAAGACATGATACAACTGTTTTCAGTCTGAGATGTACTCCCCACAATGAGTAAACTCATCTTCACATATGTAAAACCAGTGTAGTAACCCTTTAAGTCTTTAAGAAACACTCTAACCCAATTTGTTAATGTCTCAATGTCTCTATCTCCACATGATGTTTTCTTAAAATAAACTGCATAATGTGAAAGGGTGTTGGTGATCTCCATATTTATACATGAGCAATACGCATCAATTTTCTCTGCTACGACATGTGCGCCTGTTTCTACAATATTTTTAGACAATGTTGGAAGTCTGTCTGTCAGTCCATCTGTCTTTTCCTCCTTCTCTCGCCATCTTTCTCCCTCCCTCTCTCTCTCTCTCTTTCCCTGTGGTCTTGCTATGTGTGGAAGCTTGCTTGCCCCCATGAGAGATGTCCAAGTCCAGACCAACAGTCCAGGCTGACTAAATATAGCAGGCAGTAACAGCAGGGGACACTGTGTGCCCCACCCCCCACCCCCACCCACCCTTGCTGTGAAGCTCAGTACTGCTGTTTCACTACAAGCTACACTGATGGAACTTTATCGTCTTCCACACAGAAGAGGAAGTTCACTTACTGCTACAAATGTGGGACACATAGATTCACACGCAGACATATATATACAGTACACACAGATTAATACACATGCATACTTACTCTCTATCTCTCCCTCTAACACACACACACACACACACACCCTTCCAGTCCAAATGGGATTTATTTAAGACTCAATAAAGCAGACAGAAGCACTATTGTCTCCAACACAGGCCTATTGTGTTGCACAGAGACTCTGACGTGGGTCGGGTGTGCTGCATCTATGTTTACTACACAGTGAGCATTCCACTACACACACACACACACACACACACACACACACACACATAATCAAAGACTCGTGCATTCAAAAAAAAAAAAAAGCTCAAACAAATAAGCATACACACACACACACACACACACACACACACAAGCATATAGAAATACGTAACCAAGCATACAAATTCTCCATCAAACAAGCATAGGTATATGAACATCCTTACACTCATACCATGCACGCGCACACACACACGCACACACACAGCATCAAACCCATCTCTCTCCAGTGGGTGTCTAAGGGGAACTGAGTGATGAACGGGAGTGACAATACCACATGCCGGGGTGTGAGATGTGCTGCCTGGTATTTTAGGCTGCGTCTCAAATTGAACATGCCAAGCCTTCAGGGGAAAATCGCTGGAGAATGTTCACGACGAGAAGCGAACGTCCCACCGCAATATCGCTTATAATACCAGCTACAATAACTGGAATGGCACTGCAGAGGGGGCTGACTCGCTCATGAGCCACAGTGAGACACACACACATGCAGTGTTTGGGTTCGTCGACATACCTGCTGTTGAGGGTACTGCATTCCGCCCATGCCCAGTTGGCCCCTCCCTTGAATGCTCATTGGATATCGGTGCGGAGGAGGCGACGTGTATGGCTGGCTAGAGGGGTAAGGGCCACCCCCTGGCTGCTGTGGAGTGGAGTAGGGATTGTTCGCCATGCCGTACAGCTGCGAGCGCTTCAAAGCCATGAAGTCCATGGAGGACACCTGTAGAGGTAAAAGAGGGATTAACGATACGTCATCAGCATTTCTTTCTTGGCTAATATTTCACAGTCATTCATGAAGGCGCATTGCTATTGTCTGAGAGGCGTTCAAATGAATTCATCCACCATCTGCCAAGTTGGAACCCCTGACAGAGGTCCACTTAATGCACACACTCCAAACCACAGCCACCATTGATTTATTTTATAATTGCACAGCAAGTGGAAGCCTTAAATTAAGGTCTACAGGTCATAAATGAACTACAAATGGAATTAAGTAAGCAAAGATGTTTATTGCACAGCGATCGGGAGCAAACTTTGCTGGAGGAGAGCCAAAGTAAAATGATTTAATTAAAACCTGAAGCTTGTATCTTTGTTTTAATGTCTGAAAGGGTTTTAAAAGAGTTGTAAATGTTGTTTAAAGCGATGGGAAGCAATAGCAATAAAAGCTCTATGGCCTTGTTCCCACAACCACAGCCCAACAGTGCCAATAATCACTGTACAGCGCTCCCTTCTCACTCACTATGTTGTTGCTTACAGCAAATAGCAGAAATAGTGATCATTACACTGAGTTTATGCTCCTATGAATTACTAAGAGAACATGTAATGGTTAAGAGTTTGGCAAGGATCCAAACTTTCCATTACACGTATGCAACAGGTTTGCAAGTTTAAATCCCTGGAGGGAATTCAGGGCAGTCAAGCAGTCAAAGCACCTGCTCTCCAAAGCCACACCTGGGGATCTAGCTTCTTATATGAACACACACACACACACACAAAAAAAAAAATCAAAGAGAAGAAAGAGAATGTGTCAAGGGAGATTTATTCCATTGTAAGTATTTCAGAGACTTTTTAGGGGTTGTTTGGGGTCTCAGTGAGCCATTGCAAAATTCCAGTACAGTGCGTCGGGCTAATGCTAATCCGTCACCCGTAGCGGCGTGTTTGTCTGTCTGCCGGGCAGATAATGTGGAGTTCTTCTATCTTCCCTTTCTCCTCTCATGCCTTCTCCCTTTTGTCTCCGCCGTGTAGGATCATGTGTGATTTATGACATTTTGTTCCTACTGTTTCTTACACACACATATACACACACACACTTTCACTTCTCCTCTCTCATCTCCAAGTAACTACCCCCCCCCCCCCCACACACACACACACACACACACAGACATTTTCCTCCTCCTCCATCACCACCACCAGCTCCCTCCTCAGTTCCCTTTCTTCTCCCCAACTCAATATCACCTCGTCTAGTGTAGAGGAGAAATTGCTGCTGCCTCATATTGCCAGGCTAATATCAAGAAGACATGCCAGGGGATGGGAGCACTTTATTCAGCAGGTTACGTGCGGACGGTTACGGTGCTCTAGTTTTAAAGTGGTTTTGTCTACTGAGGCATGTGTGTGGAGTAGTGTGGAGGAGAGGGAGAGAGAGAGAGAGAGAGAGAGAGAGAAGAAAAACCCTGTTTGGGTAGTGAGAGAGATTGAGAAAGAAAGCCAGAGAGGGAGGAATGAGTGCTCTCGGGTGTCTAAAAGTTATTTCACAGCATGGAGGTGTATGTCAGTGCTTGTGAGGGGAGGGGGTTATCCTGCAAAGGGCAGCATCACCAGGATTTCAAGAGTCTAATCCTGAGAAAGAGAAAAAATGCCTCTTTGACATTTCACTGTGTGTGTTAATGCATGCTTGTAGTCCTGCTCATGTACTGTAGTCTTTACTTTGCCATTCATGTATGAAGCTGCTGATATTCCCTATGTTGCAGAGGCTGAAGTCACCAATACCGATATAAAATGAAATATTTAAGCACCAGAGGAAACTGACATCTCATCTGACAAAATGATTGCCAGCAGTGGAGTAAAGCACGTTAGGGAATAATTAACGTTATGAGCCATTCTGGAGTTAAGCCCATTTAAAAATGTTTTTGATAGAAATGTCATTTGTATTTCTGAAATATTGATGGATGAACGTGAGGCTCAAGAAGCTAAATTTAATCGAGATTGGATCTTTTAGGAGAGAAAACCTTGAATCACCATATAATTTGTCTCCTTATGGCTCAGTAAGACGATGAAGAGCCTGACTGAACAGGAACAAGAGTGATCTAATAACACCATCCAGAATGCAACTAAAATAGATTTAGTCCCTAAGTACAGTATGTGTGAACTGGGCAATACACAGAGTTAAGTGAACATCAAAGGAGAGATTTGTTTTAGGGTATTATCGACGTACTAAAACCGACACTGGTCATACGTTTCTAATGTGGCGACAGTGGTGTTTTTGCTAGAGTGGAGGGCAACACATGACCAGCTTAAATGTTTGAAAACCCACAACACACCACAAGCAACACACACACACAGGTCCACTAAGCAATATCTGCAGTGAAAGGGCGACACTCTCCAGTTTCTGAAAATCCAGGGCACTGTGCCACCCGTGATATGGGACACACACACACACACACACACACCCTCCCAAACCCCATCCAGTTCACCAATCCATCTCAAGAGGTCCTCCGTTTGCCAAAAATGCTGAGCGCAACACGAGTAAATCCGCTCACACGGCTACCAACACACACACACACACACACACACACACACACACACACACACACACACAGGCAAAAATAAATAAATAAAAAATTAACTGCTGCACTTAAAAAGGTAGTGGACACATGAAAACAACTTCAGAGTTTTGGGAGCTGAGAAGTTGATGCTCGATTAAACACACACACAAACACACACACATAGAAATGTGTATTAGCAAAATCTTGCACTGGCTCTCACTGTTGATCTCATCTGTCTCCTGCTCTCTCTCTCTCTCTCTCTCTCACACACTAACACGTACACTTGTGGGGAATTCTTAAATAAAACAGCCGCAATAAAATTATATAGAGCTATCTGATACATTGGTCCATCTTCCACACATGGCATTATCCACACCTGTCCACAGAGGCAAAAAAAAAAGAGACTATTCTCTGCCTCCCCAAACGGAGCCTCATATCTGCTCTCATGACAAGTTCCACTAAATGAGATTTCAGCCCACTGCAGCCTTTTCCTAGAGATATGCCCACCATTTCCCTCACACCACTAGGCACAAAAAAACCCGACAACAATTCTTGACAAATTGAAACATTTTTTTTTTCTCCCCTCAGAGAAATGGCTGTACTTAGGAAAAAAATTATGAATATGACACGAAGTGAATCGTGTTTGTGCCAGGAGGGACAGCGGGAAAAAAAAAAAAAAAAAAAAAAAACTAGAGGGAATACACAGAAATTGTTTTTTATTTTCTTCAAATGTGTTTCTCACTTTTGTTCATCTGGGCATGCCATTCAGTGGAGGAGGGGGAGGAGGCATGGGGGACAATAGTAATTCTACTGCTAAATTTAAAATTCAATTTATGAACTCCTCTCCAGTGTTCTGACTCTTTTTTTTTTTTTGCAAAACAAAGCCATTAAAACAGAACATGGGTGAAATTACTGTGGGGTGAAACCTGCTAAATTGCTTTTCTGAGCTCAATCGACAGCATTTTTATGTTGCGAAAATAATTTTACTCCTTCTCGCTTTAATGTGCTAAGTTGTTAATCAGAAAGAGACAAAACGCTCGACACAAAAGGCTTGGATATGTGGATTATGAGACACACACTGGGATCAAACAAACATAAAACAATATTGGTAAATGGTTATTATTCCAATTTCATTTTGAATGCGGGAATTATTTTAAAAAATATTCTGATTTATCAGCCGTGGTGAATGAACGTGTTGGAGCAGGGCTGGGACACACACACACGCACATGCATGCGCACACACACACACACACACACAGTGTCCCTGTGGCTATTGCTAACCTTGTCCTTCACACAAGATGACCAAATCATCACCTGTCTGCATCAGCCCTTCATTTCAGTTATTTACAATCCACAAACACACACACAAACACACACACACACACACACACACACACACACACACACACACACACACACACAGGAAACAGTGACAGAGACATGCTCACCCTCTTCGCAGGTCTAGTAACAATACAGTGAGATCAGTGTTGCTACTCTACAGGTATCATCAGGACTGCAGGGTCTTCATACAACCAACACTGTAATAAAAGATGTTCTCTCATATGTGCTTTATAGGCTACAATCAGCTGTATTGAGCGACGGCTGCTTCAGAAATTGTTTGAACGTCAAAAGAGCAATTTAGTGAACTATCATGATCCCTTATATCACCTGGTGGCTTAACGCTGCCTCCAACAGCTTCTTCCTGTTGGATAGGTGACAGTACTGGTGCTCTACAGCTTATATATACGTAGCTGCTTGGATACTCTTGCGTCTTCAGCGTGATGTGCAAAAAAAAATTGATTCATATTTTTCAGCTATTAAGTGTAAAGACCTATTTGGCACTCACATGGCGCAAATTAGCACCGTGTGAAAATGGTTCTGAATATCACCTTAAAAAGATGCATCAAACCTGATTGTGTATGAAAATTAGCCCCAAGATGCCTCTTTTGGTATTGATTATCTTCTCTTTTTCTTGGAGGGACTACTAAAGAATCCCAGCTCTTACTCCTGTGTAATGAAACCATTTTAGCCTGTGTGTATTTGTGAGGAGAAACAAATAAGGATAATTATTGTCAACGGATCCTCTTTATCCTCAGTGCCGCGTCTGTCTCTGGAGAATCAACATGCTGCAGCCAGAGCCGGCTGGTCTGCTGGGACAATCAGCCTTGTCTTTTATGTTATTTATTTAAACCATGCAGCAGAGCACTCTCCAATTCCTATTACACTGCGGGGCCCAGCGTTGCCTCGGCCTCCAGAACAAAGCTCCGCATTTCAGGCTTGAAACCCTGTGCATTTGGGCCTACTGTTTCAAGCAGAAAAAAAAAACAAAAAAAAAAACAGAGAGGGTGAAAAGAGAAAAGATGGGAGAGGAGAAGAGGGAGAAAAAGGAGAAGAGAGACTGCAGCTGTGGGCGAGTACAGATCGAGTTCCATATTAATGTGTGCAAATTCCCCCGCTCCTGCTG